ATTTCAAAGCAGAAAAGAAAAAAAGGTAAAACTTAATAAAATACTATAAAGAATTTAAAATGTTAATAAAATTATATAGCAACTTTAGTAAGATTTGTGCACTAATACTACACTTAAAAATTAGAATTAAAGCTTTTACATACATTATAAGACAAATATGTGAAGAATTAAAAGACGTTATAGATAAGGAGTTGTGATTATGAACGTGAATATACTCTGCATTGTTAGTGATTGGTTATGTTTTAAGGTCCAGGTACGGTGGTGATTGGTCAACTTTATCTTTGGTCATCTTTGTCTTATGAATTTATACTGAATGTATAACAATATAAATTAACACATTCTTAAATAGAGAACATAAACAAAAATATCCATTTCTAATAGCTAAATATAGAAAAGATGGCTGAGACTTTTTTATGTATTTAGTTCAGGGTCTACAGGGTCTCACTACACAGATCAGACTCATAGTGATTCTTCTGTTCTCAGCCTCCCAAGCTCTGGGATTACAGGTGTGCCACCATGCCCAGCCTCCATCCCTGTCTCAGCATGCCCCAGGGGTTGGGCTGGTAAGCAGACCGGGCATTGAATTTCAGTCCCTGCTTTTGCCTAAGAAGGTGCTTTAATCCACTGAGCTATCTGGCCATTCCCAATGGTTGAGCCATTTGGATGATGTAACTGCTGACACACCATTCAAAAGCAGCTTTTAAAAATTTCAAATTTCAATCATGATAGCAATTATAATACAATGTAGTTTTGTTTTAGGAACTTAAAATGTTTCATGTGTTATGATAAGATTAATCTTGATGGCTCTTTCATTCATTTCCTTTTGCATTTCTTTCCTTCTCTTATTTCATGGTCCTTACACTTCTAAGTCCTAATCATTTTAGCCATCATTTTAGAATTTTTAAGCTTAAGATAATTTCTCATTTGTCAGCTTTTGACGTCTACTGTTCCTAATCAAACTTATCACTATATGACTTTCATGTCTTCCCCTCATGTGTCTCAAGGGTTCAGTCCCAGCTCCTTATCCTGTTAATTCTACCCTCAGCCACATTGATCTATAATCTGACAAATTCTTCATGTACTGAAATCATGGAGAGTATCCTATGATTTAGACCAAATCCTTCAAGAATAATTACATGGATTCTACACTTCATAACCTCAGACCAGGGACTGGGAAAACAATCATTAGAAATTACTAACGCATCTGTGCTCATCCACTAGAAAATTATCATTGCTCAGCAGCATTTCATGTAAGAAAGAATTTTAATGTACCTAAATTTTGTTTCCAACAGAGTTAATAAGAATGAAAATCTTACGTGACTTTCTATCATTCTTGTATAAATGATAATATTGTTCTTATAGCAACTCCGGTTCTTTGACAAAGTGGCTATGACACAGATAGGCTGAAAGCTTATTAATCCCATTTGCTCTTCATGAAATAAAGTCGGGAAAAAGTTCTGATAAATGAGATGTAGTGGAATTTTCGGGCCTGGCTATAAAAACTCTTTGATTGACTAACCACATTTTTTCTTCCTTTCCTGCAGTGGTCTTCAGCATTTATATCTTTAAAGTGACAAGGGCCAGCCAAATAGCTCAGGGGATTAAAGAGCCTGAAAGCAGGCTCAGAGGCTGGGGGTTCATTCCCTGGGCCTGCTATGCTGCCCCCACTCCTGGGGCATGCTGAGACTGCAATTGAGATTGGGCGTGGTGACATGCAGCTATAATCCCAGCACTTGGGAGACTGTAAACAGGCGGATCACTAGGAGTCTGATCTAGTAGTGAGACCCTGAACACCCTGTAGACCCTTCCCTAAAATATAAATAAATAAACAACTAATTAATTAAAGTGACAGTTTTTTAAAAATTAGGAAAAGCTTATCGTTAAGTGACCATTTGAATGGAGCTCCTAAAAAGGGCTTATCAATAACATAACTAAGGAATTAGTATTATTATTTTTATAGTATTAATCTGACAATATTTCAGCATTTATTTCTTAAAGTGACTGATTGAAACATGTAAACTACTTCTAAGAAAGTCACATGGATTTCGTTTTAGATGAAGAAAACACAACTAATGACATAACAAATGTGAGATTCAAATGCTTATTTTAGCAAATGGCAGTTTTACCAGACAAAAAATCTTAAAGTATTTGATATGATAAACTTTTTACCATGTTATTTCTCTCATTTAAATCTCCCAACTTGTTCCCATTATTTAGCATTTAAGGTCTTTTCAACTGACCCACAAAAGCCACATTTAAAAGGAATAAATGCTGGAAAGGGAACCTTCATGGTACTTGGTGAAAGCATAGTACATTGGATGTCTTCTCCCTTTCCTTTCAATTTTGCTCTAAGGAGAACTATCCTATTGAGCTGATAGATATTTGATGAATTTGGGTGGTAAAGAGGAGGAAAAAAAGAAAAAAGAAGAAGAATGGAAGAATAAGTTGGGCTGGAAATCAGAAACTGGGAGGAGAAAAAGAGAGTATGGAAAAATAGGATATATGTTTCAATTTTGCAAATGTATTATAATAAAGTGCACCTTGCCATTAATACCTCTCAAACACTCTCTCTCCTTTGGAACAGATTTGTCACATCATTCTTATCATTCTCTGAAATAGTTCTCAAAGTCTTCTTTTATAGATGTTTTTAGTCACACTATCATGGCTGACTTGTTGTCTTGAATTTATATAAGATAATTACTCCTTATGGATATTTTGGCTTTTGGGATGAGCCACGAGCTGTACGGTACATGATCCACAGAGTAAGGTAGATAAAGAGACATTGTAATGCTTCTGTGGTCTGCCCTTCTGTGGGTGGCACTCAGCAATAGCATTCATCTGTTTTTTTTTTATTTTAAAGAGGAAAACAACAAAAACAAATAACAGGAACAAAGACAAAAGCAAAGCAACATAGAAAAATAAAAATGGTACAGACAATTAACAATGACTATCATATTACATAATGTATCATCAAATTTGTTGCTCCGATTACCAGATATAGGCATGCCAGATTGATCAAGCAATTAAACATTAATTCTTCCCTTCACTAAACTTCAATTTTTTGTCTTTTTTACTTATTATTTTAAAAATTTATTTTAAAGAGAATATAAACATAATAGATGAGACATTAGTGACGATGCACATTTAAAAGAACAAGATAAAAGGTATTCAACAATGATTGCTACATGGCACATTGCTATGCTTAATGAAGTTAGTCATATTGTAGATATTAGCACAAAGAGATGGTGAAAGTAAAAAAATAAACATTAATTGATACTTTTGAAAAACTGATAGAAATTACTAGTATGATCATCTCTGCTATACTGTGTATATATCTACATGGTTATTTCCCTGCCTTTCTTCTTTTCTTTTCTCCTTTCCCTCATCTCAATTGTTTATTCCTTATGTTCAGTTTCTTTCCATTTTACCATAATCATTGAACTTTTCAGAGGTTATTTATTCTTTCATATTCTTACACTAGGGAGACAACGTGTTATTTACACATGTGGGTCTGATTTATTTCAGTTATAAGTATAGCATCTAGTTGCATCCACTCACTTATAGAAGACTCAAGTTTATCTTTTTTTATATCTGAGTAATACTCCACTGAATAAAATATCACATCTTTCTCATCCTTTCCTCTGGTGATGGGCATTTGCGTTGTTTCCAAGATTTAACTATGACAAATTGCACTGCTATAAACAGTGGTGCACATTTATCACTGTGGTAATAGAGAAAATAGCTGGAAATCTTGAAGACATAGGGGTAGGCAGAGAGTTCATGAACAAAAAACAAACTGCACAGGTAATACTTCAAAGAATCAAGAACTAGCATTACATCTTATTGAGAAATTTCTGCATGTCAAAGGAAATCACCAACAGAGTGGAAACACTACCCACAAATTGGGGAAAAATTATTAACCAACAGTCACTCAGACAAAAGACTTCTATTGAGAATATATAAAAAACTAAAAAATATCAGGCCCCTCAAATTGAAAGATCCAATCAAGAAATGGGCGTCTAAGATGAATACACATTTCCCAGAGGAATAAATACAAATGGCTAACAAATACATGAACAAAAGTGTTCTACAGCACTGGCCATTAGAGAAATGCAAATTAAAACAAGACTGAGATTCCATCTCACCCTAGAAAGAATGGCTATCATAAAGAAATCAATTAATAACAAATGCTGGACAGGCTGTGGGGAAAAAGGAACCCTTCTCCACTGCTGGTGGGAATGTATACTGGTACAACCGTTATGGAAATCAGTGTGGAGACTCCTTAGAAAACTAGGACTGGAAATCTGTTTCAACACAGCTATTCCCCATGTGCATCTTTTTCCATTCATCTATTTTGGATCACATCTTGTAAAGACATTCAACAAATAGGATGTTTAGAACTGCTTCAGAAAGTGGCCAGAACAACATGGTACCTGTGTCAGAAGCAAAAGTGAAAATTTTGAGGGGGACTAATGTGTCTTTTAGTATAATAAATTTTTAAAGTGTAGGCATACAATATAATTTTTTGGTACAATGAATCAAATTCAGGAACTCACATTTGCCTGGCAGGTACTGCACAGCTGAGCTAGCTCCCTGCCCCCACTATAATTTTTGATCTACTCTTATACATGTTATCCCTAAGTCTACTTGCACAGTTCTTGCTTTAGGACCCTTAATTAAGGTCAGGCTACTTATCCTAGGAAAGGCTTTAGCCCAAACGGTTGCCTTGATGCTACTCATTAAGTACAGCAAGTGTTCCAACTTTGTAGTGATGTTAAAAGATGCTGCAGTGTAAAAACCAGCCCCCTATATCTAGATCAAGCAAAATTAATTTTAAGATGGAAATTAGCCATCAGTTTTCCTCTAATCTCTGTTCTGACTCAAAATTTTACTGTCCATTACACCTTAGATGTAATTTTCTTTAAATCATTAATTTTTAATCCATGGTAAAATTTGATTCAGTGTAATCAGTCATATTTTAAAATGGTTTTGATACTAACCTTGGTTTCGGCAATTTTCCTCTGGATTGCATCCATCGTGTAAGGATCCTCCTTCCATGACTCAAGCTTGGCTCTGGCCTGTCCTATGACCTGCTCAGCTTCTTCTTTTGCCTCCAGCCATTGTGTCGAATCCTTTAACATGTCATTTAACTGTTGCCTCCGGTTCTGAAGGTGCTCTTGCACCTCATCCCACTGATTCTGAATTCTTTCAACTGAAATGAAAGAAAAAGATGAATTAATAGCAAGCACTAGTTTTGAGAAGACTTTTGAAATTTAACATCCTCATCCTGTCTCACATTTACATTGCTCATCAAAATATTGCTCATTGTGCTACAGCTTGGATGATGAACACAGGATTCTTTCCTTTATTTTGACAGCAAACATGAGTTTTTGTTAAATTATCTTTCTGAAGGTGACCTAAAACATCAGTATATATAGAAAATTTTCTTAATGCTTAGAGCCAAATATCAATCATTATTTTGAAAGGCATTAGAGCAGAACGCCCATATCCCTTTACTCTTACTATGTCAGTGCACATCTGCCTAATTTTCATTATAAGCATCATCATTTTATTATAAGAAGTGTTTGCTTTGTCATCTACTTGGCAGGCTAGACACACCAGGCTATTGAGATCTCCTTACTATACTCAGGAGCAGCTTGGAACCAATGACTAATAATAGCAACTTGGGTATGAATGCACTGGGTCACTTTATCCCACAGGAAATGACACTCCTAGTGGGATAAAGCACCAGAAGCCTGTACTGTTACCCTGCTTGATAAAACACCATCTTTCACTGGCTGCCTTGCATTACCTCTCTATGTGCTTTGCTTCTTTGGTATGTACCTTACTATCCAAATTAACAATTTGCTTTCAAAACTATTACTAGAATTTTTTGAGGAAACCAAATAGCTGAATACGAGAAACATCTTTTAACAATGTCCAAAAACTCATCCTGAGCACATTCTGTAAAACTGGCTTCTATTGAAGCTATGTTTGGTATTTTGATGATTCTAAGATTGAAATCCTATAGATTCTTCTCTGAAATACTTTATTTGGGTATAGTACAATAAACAGGGTTGCTTTATCTAAATATCTTTTTTGTTCTTTGCTGTCTGTATTTTGGATTTTAAATGTTTTCTGGGGGCCTGTGTGTTAAAAACTTAGTTATTTTTCCATGACACTATTGGGAGTCAATTAACATTAGAATGTGCAGCCAAGACAACGAATGTTAGGTCAGCCGCACAAATGCCTTTGTTGGCCATAGTGGGATCCTGGCTTCTTTTTGCTTCTTGCCCACCAGGAAGTGAGCAGTTTCCTCCACCATGCTCTCCTTGCTGGGATGTACTGATTTGGTACAGGGCAAAATTACCTTGAACTAAAGCCTCAGCGTCTGCAAGCCACAGTGAACCTTACTCTTCCCATGTTCTATTAGATATGTTTTCACAGTAAGGGAAAGCTGACTAACACCACCTCTTTCATGCACACCTTTTTGAGGTTCCCCTTTCCATCATGAGTTAAAGCAGCATGAAGCTGAAGAAATGCCAGTGCCAAGTTCATACACTTCTCATCCTTCAGAACCAAAAGCTAGATTAACCTTTTTATAAATTAACCAGTTTTGGCAATTCTGCATGGTAACAGTGAATAGAATAATAAAAATCTTTTCAATATCTCCCTGATGCCTTCTGGAACACCCCTTAGATTTACATACATGTGCCTTTGCTATTTGGCCTTTCTACAAAGGAATAAATCACAGCATAAACAGGCACAATCAAACAACCAAATATTATATAAAAATCTTATAGAAAAAGAACTGTTATTATGGTGAGGAGAAGAGATGAGAAAGAGAAGTACCCAGAAGCAGAGAATCATGAGAAATGACATTGTGAAAAGCAGCAACCTCTTGTCAAGAAACACAGTGTGCCTGTAGCAATCGCATGGGCATGGAATTAGGAAAATAAATATCTTAATCTCATTTTGCTTACTCTCATCAGTTTTCTTCTAGGCTCCCCAGTGGCTAAACTAAATGGAAGCCAGAGGGCCTGGGAGCTCAGTGATGACATATGTCTCCCTCCGAGAAGAGAGAGAAGGTTAGAGAAGGGCACAGACGGGCAATGGATGAACAAATTAAATATATACATCACAGCATCATAACACTATGGCTTATTACACAATGTATGTAAAGTCTGTCTAACTTGCATTAACATGTCAACTGTGTTTAAAGCTCAGTATCTACCTGTCTCTTTTTCTCTAATCTTTAATAGTACTGTTTTATTTTATTGTTATTGTTACTTCACTTGGTAGAGGAATACCTATTATTAGTTGAGGCTTCCATGTAGGTGATTAGTCTTTTATTTAATCTTCAGTTTATAAAATCAATAGTGTAAATATGGCTATAAGAAAGTTGTTTAAAATATAAATGAAATGTGTTCAAGTGTTCTGAAATATTTTTCCATTGGCCATAGACACAATCACCCAATTACACAGTTTCACATCTTCTAGCAAGATGCTTTAGTTTTTACTAGTACATATTAATTATACTAGTTCATAGGGTTCCCTTTGACATTTTCATACATGTGTGTTTCATACATTGATCATATATACTCTCTCTTCCACACTTTTGCCTCACTTCCATCCTCCCTTCTGGCTAGCCTACTTCCCAATCTCTAATCAATGGGTAGGATACTTTAGTTTGCATAGCTGGTACAAATTTAAATTAGCCTGTTATAGGTTATTTGTATTTGAAACTAATGAAATTGATTTTCCTTAAAAATGGGATCTGGTTCCGATTTGATTTACCTTCATTAGCTTTAATTAGCAAGACTTTACTATGCTAAGCAATTTTGTTAGAACAAGTACTGATTTTTACATAAACATAGCATGTGTAGAGTGAATATTTTGTACATTTATCGTTCATTTCAGTGTCATAGAAACAATCTATACTTTGGAAAGGCCATCAGTAGACATTAGAATTAAGTACTTATTCCATTTGTGTATAACTACTTTTAGCTTTGTACCAAAAGGACAACTTTTATAGCTTGTATCATTATTTTTGACAAGCACATCATTTGAATTCTTGTTAAATAATAATAAAGGGTTTTATTTTTTTGCGGAACCGGGGATAGAACTCAGGTCCTTGTGCTTGCCAGGGAAGCGCTTATTCCACTGAGCCATCTCCCCAGCCCCGGTATTTTTTAATATATTCCAGATATTAGTATTTTTTCTGATGAGCAGCTGGAAAAATTGGGGGCTGTTTTCTCTTCAATCTGTTCATTTCCTTTCCTATGCAAACCCTTCTAAATGAGATTCCAGTTGTTGATTCTTTATATGTCTTATTTGATTGGGGCTTGGTTCATAAAGTCTTTATCTACACCTATGTTTTCGACAGCTGTACATATTCTCTCTTCTAGTAGGTTTAGAGTTTCTGTCTTAATATTTAGATCCCTGAACCATTTTGACTAGTTTTAGTCATTAGTATGTGGAAAGCCTGTTTTTCCAGCACCATTTATTAAAGAGGCTACCTTTATTCTGGTGAAGGTGTTTGGCCCTTTTGTCAAATGCATGGTTGTGGAGTATTATTATTATTATTATTATTATTATTATTATTATTCAGGGTCTTGCTATACAGTTTGAACTTGTAGTGATCCTCCTGTCTTAGCCTCCACAGTTTTCAGGCCAGGATGGCAAGCCTGGGGTTTCAGGGCTGGCATGGCATGTGCTACTGGGGATTTAACTCAGGCCCTTAAACTTGCCCGGGAGGAGCTTATGTCACCAAGCTATCTCCCTAGCCCGTGCTGAGTATGTTTATAGGTTTTTATACACCTTCTAATCTGTTCCATTCATTCTAAGATTTCCTTTTTTTCAGAGTGCCATGCTGTTTTTTTTAATGACAAAAGATTTACAGTATAATTTAATGTCAGAGACTGTGATGTCTTGTGCCTTGCCTTTTTCCCCCAGAATTGAATGTGCTATTCTAGGACTCTTCTGGTTCAACATAAATTTTAGGATTGTTTTCTCTAATCTGTGAGTTATGCTATTGGTATTTTGATTGGGATTGCATTAAATCTGTACAACAATTGTGGAATTATAGCCCTTTTCACTATGCTGATTCTTCTTACCCAAGAGGAAGGGACATCTTTCAATTTTCTTTTCTTTTTTTTTTTTAAATCTTTTTTTAATTTTTATTTATTTGTGTGTGTGTGTGTGTGTGTGTGTGTGTGGCCAGCTCAGCCCACCAGGGGGCGGGGCTGGCTGGCATGTGGTGCTGGGGATTGAACCGCGGTCCCTGTGCTTTGCTAAGCTTGTTCTAAGTAGGTGCTTTAGACCACTGAGCCATCTCACCAGCCCTCAATTTTCTTTTCTTTTCTTTCTTTTTGGCAGAACTAGGGATTGAACTCAGGCCCTTGTGCTTGCCAGGGAAGTGCATATTCCACTGAACCATCTCCATAGCCCCTATCTTTCCATTTCCTGATATCCTCTTTGATCTCTGTTTTCAGAGTAATGTAGTTTTCTATATAAAGAACTTTTACTTCCAATTTTAAAGACCCATTCCAAAAATGGGCATATGAAATGAACAGACACTTCTTAGATGAAGTAAAAATGACAAATAAGTAAATGAAAAATAGTTCAACATCACTTTCATTCTACAGAGGCAAATTAAAACAAAACTGAGATTCTATCTCACTCCAGAAACAATGGCTATTATCAAGAAATTAACTATTAATAAATGCTGGAGGAGTATGGGGGAAAAAGAATCCTTTTCCACTGTTGGGGAGACTGTAGATTGGTCCAACCACATCAGTATAGAGTTTCCTCAAAAAACTATAACTGAAGGTTCCATTTGAACCCACTTACTCCTTCTTGGTATCTTCCCAAGAGTTAATACCATCATAGCACAGTGATAGATGCACACTCACATTTGTACAAGCACAGTTTGTAATAGCTAAATATTTGAAACAGCCCAAAGGCCCATCAACTAATGAATGGATAAAGATTTTTTTTTCCCACAATAGCGTACTGCTCAGCCATAAAGAAGGATAAGCTTGAAACATTTAGGGTTAAATGGATATACCTTGAAGCTATACTCTTAAGTGAAATAAATTGAAAACATTTGTGCAAATATCACAGTTTCTCTGGTGGGAGAAACAGAAAGTATAAATAAGGACCAAACCAAATGTATAACAGATATTGTGACTTGGGAAGAAGATACTCAAA